TAACAGCTAAGTCAGTATAGCGATGGGATACGTGCTGCACGGCCAGGGTTCGATTTTGGCAGTGTAAATGATTTTTTTCTTCTCAATCTTGTCCAGATCGGGTCGGGGGCCCATCCAATGGGTTCCGAAGATCCTTTCCCAGTGGGTAAAACGCAGGAGTGTGAAAATGTCCACACTCCTCCATTTAGTGCCCAGGTCCATAAGAGCTATGTCCCCACTCCCTCATTACGCCTTCATTTTTTGGTGCTTAATTAATTAAGAGCAGAGGCAATGTTACCTTTTAATTTTATGCATTTATTTAACGTAATTTTATAAGGAACATTTATTATGTTGGGTTACGCGGTAGCGTAGGTTGTTGAGACACTATGCTACAAGTCGAAAGGTAGCGAGTTCTATTTCCGATTTGGTCATTACATTTTTCAGTTGACATACTCCTTCCAGTCGCATTATGGTCTTGAGGTCAACTCAACCTCTAACAGAAATGAGTACCAGGAATCTTCCTGGATGTAAAAGGCGGCCGGCTTGTAAGACTGACAACCTCACCGCCAACTGTGAGCCGATTGTCTAGAAAATGTGGGAACCTCGACGTCTCGCAACCCTATGGGCTTCCACTTCCTGTTACAGGGATAGTTTTACCTTTACAAATATAAATCACTCCGTCCAATGTGAGCTCTAAGTTTTTTACTGCATGAAAACTTAACACCCTTACAGTTTCGGTCTCTGTGTACCATCTTCAGAGGGCAAACATCACTACAAATAGGAAACCACCATCACATAAGTTGTTGAGACGTAAAGTACGTACACTTATATGCTACAATGCATAGTACACATAATAGAACATTTCACAAACACAGCAGTTTCCTGGGAATGTAAAGTTTTTAAAAAATTATTTAAAATTTCTTGATGCTAATTAAAAATAAATTTGTATTGTCAATAATTAAAAGTCGTAAACCATGCAGGCTTGTGTTCGTCCTCCCATCGTCCCTCTTGTATGGGGCAGATATTGTACCACCTGGCTATCTTGATGTGGAGGTTCTTTATATCTTCCAGGGTTTGCTCGTGGCTGCTGTGCTGTTTTCACTGTCATTGTGCCAGGTGGCACAAGTTTTACCTTTGCTTTTACTTGCGGTACTGTGGAATATAACACCGTGTAGGTCAGAGAGAGCTCGGCGTTTCCGAAGAACCTCTCCCCCAGACATCAGGGTCCAAGAATAAGTCAAGCAAGAAATCAGCAGAAGCGAGCGACATGTTTTGTTGGTTGATTGTTTGGCTTTCCGCCTAAGGATATGAAAAATATCAGTGTCTCTAGACATGTTCGCTCTCAAATTAATGTTCAGTGGAGTTTGTCGAGTCCACGTACTGAGACAAGGATTGTAGGATGGGTAGAGCTTACTCAAGGGCCGTACTTACGGTGCGTTGCTTTCCTTCCTCCCCTCCTACCTAGAATGCAGATGCAACCACTATCCCCAGCTTCTCCTCAGGCGTAGCCCAGGAGCCAAATCTAAAGAAAAATTCGAAGAAAATCCAGGACAGTGAGCCATCGTTTGCAGTAATTCGTTTACGTACTGCATATACTACTTGAAACGAGCGCAGAAAAAGACTGTAATAAGTAAATATTAATTACGCTATATAAAACCCAGATCGTGTTTGCGTACACAAACACACAAAATTTATATGTAGAAAGACTTAATTAACGATCCTTGTTTGAAAAGCTTTTCCTCGCAGAACACCCACAGTCACCATTTTTATAATCTCGTGTACAGTCTTCCACGCTTTTATTTACATTAGTACTGCACCTATATAGTTATATTTTTATTTTATACAGGGTGTTTCAAATTTATTCATCACATTTTAACAATCACGTCTCAGAAATGCACACAGCTACAGACGTAGTACAAAGTGCAATGTATTTAAGATGAAGTCGCCACGGAAGTGACTATGATATCTTGTGGATGTGACGCCGTGCGTTCTGGTAAAACTTTACTGAAATTTGATGGAACACACTGCCTCCATCTTTAGGCGACAAGCAAGAGATAAGCAACGAGTAAAAGCATTTTGATACTGTATGCTTGTTTGACTTTTCCTTTAGCCCTGAAAATGCTGCCAGTACGTTCCACCGAAATATCAGTAACTAACAATTATATCCAATTACATCTTTATATATTTACGTGCGAACTTAATATCCCAGGGGCCAACTATAAATTAAGCACAAGTAATAAGATGAAACAATAAAACACAAAAAGAAAATAAAAGCAGATAATGTTTAATAATGATAATAATCATTATTACTATTATTGTCATTGGTACTGGACTTTTTCACGTCCGAAAAAACAACAATTTTTAAACTGAATTGTAATGGACATACTTCTCAGAGAATTTTCCAATTTCACAAATGTTATATATTGTGTTGCTAGTAATTTTGTCGTTTCTTTTCCCATCAAAGTTTTGGTCGTGCCCTTTCAAAGGGGCACCGTCTCCCATTCGTCCAGATAATAACAGACAATAAGATCTTTGGGGATGGGGTCCGATTTTATGTGTCTTCATTTTGTCAGACATAACCTCAACATTTCGCACATTCAGGATATGTTTAACTACTGAATGATGAATGATATTTTACACAGCACTTTTAATCTTGTATTTACGATCTATCTGAGTACCAAATGTTTCATATAATATATTATTAATAATCTTCATCAACCAGAATTTAAATACGCAATTTATACGACCATAATTCTGATCTATTATATTCATGGAAGAATTACTTAACAAAGGTTTTATGTTATTCCACAATATTTTACCATAAACTATTTGAGGACTACAGATTAAGTGGTGCTACTGTCATTCCCACATCAAAAATTCGTGCGTCTGCCATATTTTTCTTACCCAGTACAGGACATTAAAGATTATGAGGCTGGGGTGGTTTCTAACGACATAGAATTCATGCCAAAATTCATGAAAATCGACCAGCTGGAATGTGTTCTACACAGATACACTCATGGGCTGACACTGGGGAAATATGTTATTCTTTCAGGAATGAAGTCGTGTTAGAAGAAAAATTCAGGGGGAATTGGAAACTGAACCGTATGATCATATATTTTTCCCATCTCCTTGTGAATTATTAGTAAATCTGAAAAATTTTTCGTTTCATTTAAAATTTCTGAAATTGTTATAAATATAGGTTTCGCGTTATGAATCACCCTCGCGGTACTAAATATAATACAGGTCTAAAAAACACACACCAATTTCGTTCCAATTGATTTATGTTTGCACAAACTGCAAAGCTTTGAATGAAACAAATTCATGAAAATAATGGTTTGTAAAGCAAATTTTTCAGTTATACGTATATTCCAGAAGGAGGCATCGAAGGATATAAATTGACTGTAGTCACAATTCACTCAGAGCTATAAATGCATTCCCTTAAGTACACAAACCAATCTGTGTGATGTATTAATTGCGAAATCTGATCCTTGTTTTGTAAATAGAGATTTGGTCAAATATCACTGGCTGTCGACTTTGTTATTAGATTTCTATCGACAATTATCCATGCCCCTGGATCTGAATGGCAAGGCAATAAATTAAAATAATATTCCTCATCTCTGACAACTGATTCACATCAAAACGCTGGATGTCGAGGGGCGAAAATATGGCGTTTATTCATACGAAATATGACGTTCTTCAGAATGAAATTCATGGGGTATTTTCAGTTATTAGTCCACAGAAAATAGCTTCATAACTTGCACTTTTCTCCAAGTATAATTAGAATGATTAAGTCCAAGAGGATGAGATGGGAAGGTCATGTAGCAAGAATGGGGAGAAGAGGAATACATATAGGATATTGGTGGGAAAGCCAGAAGGAAAGAGACCACTGGAAAGACCAAGACGTAGGTAGGTGGACAATATTAAAATGGATCTTAGAGAGATGGAATGGGATGGTATGGATTGATCTGGTCCAGTATAGGGACCAGTNGGGGAGAAGAGGAATACATATAGGATATTGGTGGGAAAGCCAGAAGGAAAGAGACCACTGGAAAGACCAAGACGTAGGTAGGTGGACAATATTAAAATGGATCTTAGAGAGATGGAAAGGGGTTGGTATGGATTGATCTGGTTCAGGATAGGGACCAATGGAGGGATCTTGTGAATACTGTAATGAACCTTCAAGTTCCATAAAATGTTGGGAAGTTGTTGAGTAGCTGCACAATTGGCAACCTCTGAAGAAAGGCTCAGCTCCATGAGTGACACTCCACAGAAAATATACCGCATCTACAAAATGACANTGCACAATTGGCAGCCTCTGAAGAAAGGCTCAGCTCCACAGAAAATATACCTCACCTACAAAATGACATAAGGAATAATGTCTCGGGTTTTTTTAATATTAAACTGATGATAGTCACCAAGTTGCTTTAAATAATGGTAAAAAAGAAAAATTATAGGGATATTAATGAAAACTATGTAAATTGTGTAGACTAGCGATCCAGCAAGGTGCGTGTAAAATTGTGTATTTTGGTTAATTCTTTAGACAGAAATTAATTAAAACTTTTAATGTTAAATGTTCCTAAATATTAAATATAATATTTTGTCGAAATGTTAGTAAACATTTACCAGAATAAACGTGGTCATCTTTGGGGGTTAGTTTACGAAGCTGTCAGTAGCTACACTATGTGGCGTGGAATGAGAAGGTGAACTATGAACTGGAAATTATTTTAAGTGAATCAATCCTGGTACAATCGACGAACTTCACCGGCAATTACTTGTAGGGACTAAGAAAAACTGTTGAAATTTCAAGATATGATTTTCGGTGTCTCGGTTGAGATTCGAACCGAAAACCCTCCAGTATGAGTCTAGACTGTTACAGCCACGCAAACCACCCAGCTATGCGGTGCCACAACCCTGAAGGCCACAATATGGAACTTTGGAATTATGCAAAACTCAAATTTCGTATTTTCGTGTGGTTACAATATAATCTAATATCCACGATTTTCTTTTCCCTTTCATGGAAGAACGCGCGAGCCAGTTATGACTTCAGCAGTAATGACGCATACCCGTATCCACGCTACACCGATGATTGGTTCAACAGGTAAGTGTTAAGATTTAACATGAAAGATGCTCTTCACTACGTTCAGTCAGAGCGACGCCACAGTCTGCAGAACAGACGAGGCGTCTTAAATAAGTTGCGCTATTATTTCACGAGAGTTTATGCGAATTCTTACAGGATCATATATCATTTCTGTGGCTGTGTGGAAACAGCTCCATTTAAACTAAGATTTTGTTAAGGTCGGCCACTAACTGTTGTGGAAAAAGAGAATAAGAATTTGATCTGAATTACAGGAGAATCAGGATTCAATTTCACATAGTTCAGACGGGCTCTGAGGTCCATCTATTTTCCAGCAAAATGTGTACTTGTGATATTTCCCCTGGGGAGGGGGATGTCTGCTCCACAGTATCCAAACTTGTTGCTGGACCCATCCAGCCTCCTACACAGCGGGTACTGTGGATATTCCTCTGGGCTATAGCTGATGCAGCGTGAAGCTGACCGCTCACCCATATGTAGTGTTGAGTTTGAGATTGCGTGGAGCGATTCCTATACTGTATGCTATGTCTTCATTGCGTGGTGCTTAAATTAGCACAGGGAGAAATTCACATTTAAGTTTAAAGATTCTATTTAAGTTGCTATATCTTAGCATCCTGTTGCAGTTGGTATCAGAATTTTAAGTTTTGTTTACCGTCCACTATGCAACAATATCAATATTTAAAATTAAATTCTTTTCAGATTTGTCAGTACACTAGAGAACACAATGCAAAACATAATAACACAGTCTGAAATACTGGGTTTTTGGACTTTATCCATCGTCCTGGTTTTTAAGATAACAAATAAAAACCAGGACGATGGATAAAGTCCAAAAACCCAATATATCAGTGTGTTATACACCATCGTCAGAATCCTATAGTAACTAATAATAACACAGTACTTACAAATAAAGAAACACGAAGAAAGTGGCATATACCAAGTAATATGGGTAGATTGTCCATTAGAATCCATAGGACAAACAAGTATAAAAATTCACACTAGATATAGAGAACATATACAAGTAGTTAGAGGTAATAATGGCAAATCCGGATATTCAAATCATATGTTGAACACAGGACATACTTATGACACTATAACAAGCACAATGAATAAAAATAAGGAAAAAGGAAAACATTTAAACACATGAAAGATGCATGCATCGGTATTTATAACCCGGTATTTGAAACACTTCACCACAAAGCAGCACACTCTACAGTCCCTTATACAAAACGGAACCAGTTCCTCGCGCACTCATAACATCCACACTGCCCACTAGACAGACAACAGACATACCAGAAAAGACGATACATATAGAGCAGGAGGAGGAATATATTGACTTCATTTAAAGCCATCGTGCTCGTACATATGGAAATACCGATTGCAGTAGCGCTCAAGACACGGCAGTTCCCCTAAGTTTAACGTACCTGATGATGACCGAGTAGGCCGAAACATGTTTTGCAGTGACAACTTAAAATTATAAAATAAATGCTGATGTCGTTGCATGGTATACCGAAAATCCTAGTATTTAAGAATCTGGTATTTTTTATTATGGCTGTTTTGTAAGGGACTATTAAAATTTCGGAAGCACATGTTGCCTCCATCATCAGGGTATAAAATTTTAGGTTCATCCTCCACGGACATATGTAGGGCGCCTACTTCTGTGCCACGTCTCGGCGAACCATAATGGTATGGCTGTAAGGAGACAGCTCCAGTTAAATCAGTAGCAGTCTAAATCATGTCATAAGCGTTCGACCAAATGAACACTGCAAGCTTCTCCGAAAAGCTGCGAATCTGCCTATTCTCGTATTTCCTGATGCTGGGGTCTCACAGGGTACGGTGGAAGCTTTACTCAGCTAACCGCAGTAAACCCTCTCTCTAGGCAGCTTACATTTCTTTCGGTTCCGAATACTCAGTTTCGAATCCCGCCACAGGCACTCGTATATATCACTTTCTATGGTCTGCTGACCTTTGTGAGTAGAGAACTAATGATGGGCTGATCATCTGTGTTAAAATAGATGTATTCATGTCTGTGCATATATAGTGACGTACTGTCCGTATGGGATTTTGCTTTGATAACCTCAAAATATGACATTTTCCACATTCAAAGAGACGTCGCGATAAATGAAACACAGTTTTATTTTCTCATATACATATTGGGTATGATGAAGATAAAAACTTTCCCTATATTTTAATAGATTTAGATGTTTTGATTCCTCCCCCGAATATGAAAAAAGAGCTTTTGATATGCCATCTGTCTGTCAATCACTATGTGTAGGTTTCAGCCTCGCTAGCTCCTTAAAAATTCAACGGATTTTATTAATATTCCGTATCTAAGAATTTATCTGTCATAGGATGGTGTCTGGTGACAGGAGAGTTAGTGAGTTTAGTTAGTTTGTTGGTGAATGAGTTAGTTCGAGAGCAACTAGGGTTCAATATTGGTGACCTGTTGCTGTGAGAAGCTGGTGGCTGAGTCGGGGATAGTTCAGGAACACAGAGGGAGGTAACGTCCGTCGTTAGAAGCCGCTACCGAGCAACGGCTAATGAAGACGTGACTATGGACATTAGTGTATGTGTGTATAATACTGAACTGTAAAATGTTGTTAGTCCTCCAGACAAATGCCTGAAGAGTACCAAGATTAGAACTAACCGGTTACTTCTAAATCCTTTCAAATTAATATATTATTTATCGTAATCTGGTCTATTCTGCAAAGAATTTGAGGTTCTCACAGCGGTGGATATGAATTTTATCTTCTGGCATATAATGTCGTGCAGCCCGTTGAATGTCAAAAGACGTTTCGGAGGAATATGTCGCCTCCAATTTCAGGGACGAAGAATAAGCCAAGTAAGAAACCAGAGTGAAGTAGGTAATGAAGAGAGCTTAGTTGACGTTAAGCGAAATACAATGCGATATATCGCAGAAGTTAGAACTCGTCTAGTCTGGTCTGGTACATAAGCCAACTACTGAGAGAACCCTAAAATTGCTTACACAAAAATATTCTTTTTGTGAAAAATGTATTTATATTCTTTTACAAATTTTGCTACTGCATTCCGATAATACAGCCTCACTCTCACGAGCATATCTGTTCATACACGTATGTGACACTGCACATGGGGGAATGGAAGCCTTGGAGTAATCGTTGATATTCAGTGCCTTGCAGAATCATACATTATTGAGTTTGCTCCACGCGCAGCGACTCGTTAATATGTGAGCACCGGAACACTCTCTTAAATCTATGGAAGTGAAATACACGGTGTTCCATAACATAATGATCTTTCTTAGAAAATACTAGCACTACCATCGCGTAAATTCACGTACTTAAGAAAGCAAATCGAAGAATGTCTCCGCCTTATGTCTATAGCAGTAGATGGTTGGCTTAGAAGTTTTAAATTGAAAGACAGAACTTCTAAATTACATAACTTGTTTCATTAGAACCTTATGTTAGCAAACGAAAGGAAGACGTTCATTGAAAATCAAACCATCAAGTGGCTCCTCCAACGGAGTTCCCGCGAACTCATTGCAGTTGTCGCGGAGTGGACGTCTAATTATTCTTTTATATATATAGAGAGAGAGAGAGAGCGCGCTCGAGAGACAGAGATAGGAATAATAAAAGTCACATCATCTTGATATCTAAATTGTATATATGTACATATACAAAGAGAATTGTAACCAGGAGTTCATATTACTCGTATGTTATTATTACAGCTTGAACAATTTAACTGCCGAAAAAATGTAATGTCGAAACTAGTGGTGAAAATATTTCATATTTTCTTAAATAGATATAAAATTCTCACAAAATATATTTATCATTATAAATTGAAATATGTATTGTTGGATTTTGGTTTCTCACAGTGGTGGGGTTTTAACCTCCTGTAGTCAGATGAGTCCATCGAAGTTTCGAAGGAAAGTATCGCCTACATTTTCAAGTTCGAAAAGCGACCGAAGTCATAGAGCAGCAAACCAATTCTTGTCCTTCAATAAAATTTGTCTCTGATATCCAGGAGGTATCTTATTCAAATCTGGAACCAAACACAAAATATACTGAAAATTTTCGTAGTATTTCTCAACCCCTTTCAGGGAAACACCTTCCATGTTTATTCTGATTTATTATTCACTATCATCCGCTCATCTCACTCTCTATAGCTAGAGCTATAGCGTTGTTAAATAAATGAATAGAATACTTGCGAACTCCTGGTCTGGGATGGAGGAAAGCCGAGCTCGCTATGGCGAATAACAGAGAGAATACTTATCTCTGCCCTGGATTGAACTCTATTCACTCAGTCAGTAAAGATATATTTTACAGACTGAAAGAAGTAAGAAGGCACATGGTATATTGGGCCCTAAAATAACTGCCGTTTCTTGTGTCCTATTGAAATTCGTGCATTACGCTGATTTTATGCTAAGCCCGTTTAGTGCCAGATCGCTGGTCAAAGTAAATTCGTTTGTCTATATATAGGCCTGATTTATGCGTTAAATTGGCAGTGCTCAGTGGCCCAGAGGAGCTCTCTAAATGTCGTGTGTCGTGACATTTCCACTGCGTTTCCTACATGCAGGCGCACGCGCATGCGCATGGGCGCGTGTGTGTACAGCGTTAATATAAAAATAAGAATCAGATTCTTGCAGTCTTTTCTGAAGTGACGTTATGGCGCAGAAACACGAAGGTTCGGAGTAATCTTCTGTCACTTATATCCTGAAGAATGAGGTAGTAATTTCCTCCGAAACGTTATCTTCCTGCGGGACTTCATGACGTCATCTCTTACAATACAGTAATCTTCAAATTCACTGTCGTGGAACTATCAGACCTCGATTATGAATCAGTCTTAATTATGCAATGGAGTTTTCTCGATCGACTTTCCATGGGAATATACAGTTGTTTTCCGACGTTTCTGAGACTTTCTCCTTTCACATTATCTTGGTCTATAATGGTTAACAGTAAGAGCGTAGACAGTCTCAGAAACGTCGAATACTAATTGCGTATTGACTCAGCCATTATCCGACAGAGTTTATTGAA